TCCGCTCTTTGTTGACCTTGAAAATGTTAAACATATCGCTGATATAAATGCCTCATAGATTTAGATTCTGTTGCTTCGTGTGCCACTTCAGTGTTGTTCTTTCAGCATAATGTACTCCATCCTGAGACACCCCCACACTTTAAAATGACAACAGACAGCAGGTGGATGTGTCATGGTGTTTTGTCGGGAGGCTCAATGCACGTCCCAGCTCCGCCTCTCTGCCTGGATACTTTAATAGAGTCAGCATTTCCAATATGGCGACCACAATGGATGGGCTTCCAAAGCAGCCCGTCAGAAACCAATGGGGGACGTCGCTCAGACTTTGTCCATGTTTATATACAGTCCATGGTAGAAATATTTATATCAGGATGTCAGGGAGAACTTGGAGCCACATGGCTGAAGTGAAGCAGCCAACATGGCCGACGACAAGCTGCAGACTCAGAACAGAGAGGCATTCCCCATCCAGCTGATTAACACCTTGGAGCAAAGTTAATGTTCATTATTTTGACTCTATTGTGCTTTGACAAGAAGTTAGAATGATCTCAGTTTGATCGTCTCCAAATATGAGGTGAGCTTCAGTTTGCTCTGGACTCAAACAGTCGGTCTAAATGTCCTTCAGAGGGACACTTTTGACTTTGATACTCTGAGGACAGTTTAGAGCCTGCTCTGAGTTACACAAGCTGCATGAATTTAAACGTAACCATGTTTGAACATAATTGCTAATTTAGGACAATTACATCTAAAGGTGTCGCACCGGCTGAGTTAGTACCAGCATGAGCAGTTAAAGTTAAAATCTTAAACCTAGCTCTTAGTAGGACTAAACATAAGTTACTAACTAGTTTACAGAAAGGGTTGGTGTGGACTTCAGAACTTGAGACAGAACTTACACAGATCTGCTGCAACTGGACACCGGACTTTATAAAAACATGAATGTCTCCAACCTCGATGTAATTCATGGCAAAGGCTGCAGCCGTGTTGGAGGACCTCCACTCATACTGCTCGGGCACATCACCAGTTTGTTCCACATGGTGTGTCCCCCCTCAGTGAAATCATAGGGGGAACTAAATGGATCAGCGTGGGTCCATCTGTCCCCTCGCCTGTCCTTCTGTCATGCACAGTAAATCAGAGGCCGTCAACTGGAGTCAACGAGGAACACATTCCTGTCCTCTGAATTATTTTTATTTTTTTAGTCATCTTAATGCATCTTAGATCATCTGAGATGCAGGTTGTCTGTGAATATTATAAACAAGACAGTTTCCATCAGATTCTGAGCCTTTGTCCAGAAAGAGAGAGAGAGAGAGAGACAGAGAGAGAGAGAGAGAGAGAGACAGAGAGAGAGAGAGAGACAGAGAGAGACAGAGAGAGAGAGAGAGAGAGAGAGAGAGAGAGAGAGAGAGAGAGAGACAGAGAGAGAGAGAGAGAGAGACAGAGAGAGACAGAGAGAGAGAGAGAGAGAGACAGAGAGAGAGAGAGACAGAGAGAGAGAGACAGAGAGAGAGAGAGACAGAGAGAGAGACAGAGAGAGAGAGAGACAGAGAGAGAGAGACAGAGAGAGAGAGAGAGAGAGAGAGAGAGAGAGAGAGAGTGTATTAAAGGATAAATCTGTAACTCCCCCCCTCCTCTGTAGAGTGGATGCTCACTCAGGTCACCATGTGGTGGACTCTGAAGCTTCAGTGTTTATCCAGCTCTGCATGGGTCTGTAAACCTTTCTGTGTTCTAACCTCTCTCCATTTTTCAAAAGCATCTCCAATATTGATCCTAGTTTGAGCACGTTTCTGCTCGTGGGGTAGAATCTGTTAAATATGAAGCAGTCCCCTTCCATCGATACAACACCTGTTAGTTTGCCGTTTGCCTGGCAAATCGAGGGGCGTCCTAAACGGTCGTCGATCAATAAAATGCCTCACTGGCTGAATGTGCGCACTCTACCCTCACCGTGCACTCAAAGTGTTTCACTCCCCCATGGGGGTTTTCTCATGTCCAGCAGAAGTTGGCACAGAATGTTCAGCTCAAATAACGACTGTCAGGGTTACTGTTAACTGCTCGTCCTGCTAAACAGAACAAGACAGACCGGAGCAGAGAAGGCTGTGACGGGACAGCATTTGGATAAAGGCTACAACACGATACAATACAAACACATGTTGAAGGCAGTCTGCAGGCCAAGAGAGAGAATCTGCTTTATAGCCACCTGCTCAGGTGTGCTGCATTACTCTCAGACTCCACCCGTATCTACCTGCAATGAGGAAATCAAGGCCAGCGAGGAAGAACCAAAAGGCTTAGAGGCCAACCCTAAGGCCGTCACACTACCCCCCCCATAAGTCAAGGGTTCTACCCCGAACCAATGGTAGTGCTACGTTGCCAACAATGAGTCAGCATATTTAGCATCTAGCTAAAAAAAACACTTGACATCTTTACAATTTAAAGGTTTTAGTTAAGATTTGAAATACTCACAATGACTCCAATCAAGCTGTCCTCACTCTTTAAGCTCCTCCCCTTTCCGACTCAGACTGTGATATGATCATCTTTCAGTGTTTTCACACCGCTGGATGAGACATGAGGTAACCCAGTTGAATAAAGTTGAAAGCGATGTGTCGAGGTCTCGTCCCCGCCGAGGAGACATTCTGTTACGTGATCTTTCAAAACGCAACGCTGCAGGTCGACACTCTGAGGTTATCATCACCATCATCATCATCATCATCATCAGCAGCGTGCCACCAGAGTGTTTGATGTAATGAAAACCAGCAACACGCCGCTGACGCCCCGGCTGCGCGGCGAGCCGGTTTCCCACAGTGCACTGCAGTCAAGTGGAAGCAGGAAGTAAACAAATCATGCCATGGGCTGGACAGCTGGGGACGCAGTGGCCTGTAGACACACACACACACACACACACACACACACACACACACACACACACACAGTTCAGGCTGATGTCGGTGTGTGTGTTTGGAGATTTAGGGAACAATACTGATTTTTTGTGTGTGTGTGTTTTCACTGTGACAGACAGGAGTGTAAAATAAGAGACACTTTGCATATTTATTTTTTATTTTCTTCTGTATTACAATCAGCTGTATTTTTGAATGATCTTGTATTCGTTTAATTAGTTTTAATCTTCGTGTGAATAAGAAAACATGATGGGGGCGCTCCGTGTACAGAGGCTGCAGTCCGGGTTTAAATCCGGCCTGTGGCTCTTTTCCCCGCATGTCTCTCCCTCCCTGATTTCTGTCTCTATCCACTGTTCTGTCTTTATGTAGAGGCTTAAAACCAGGATGACACTTGATGATATTTATAGCTGTGTTTGCAGTCAGTTGGAGTGGGCGAGCAGAGGAGGATTTAAAAAGAGAATAAAGAAGATCTGAACATTCACTGTTTGTTTGTTGGGAAGACATTTTTAATCAGGGTGATTTTTTTTATAATCCTGCAGTCTATTCTTTTGGATACACATGATTCTTTTAAAGTAAATATATTTCCTGTTTATAGATCTTTGTCAGCAAGGTGCCCGGATAGCCTAGCGGTTATGTTGTACGCGCCATGTACAGAGGCCACGATCGTGGGTTCAAATCCAACCTCAGATCTTTTCCCAACTCTCTCCTCCCAAAGTTTCCTGACTCTCTTCAGCTGGCAAAATGTCCCCCGAAATATCTTTAAAGGAAGAATGTGTGACATCAATACAGCAGAGATCCAGACTGTCCTGTGTAAATGTGTCTCTGAGTCATGACTGTCTACAATGAGGGAGAAGCTCGAGTCCTGCTGGCTGTGTTGTTGTCAGAGCCGTGTTTACATGGACGGGACGGCCGGCATAACAAAGTTATACATTCTTCCCTTAAAAAAAACTCTGTCAGTGTCAAGTAGTTCCCTCCTTAGAAACTGTCAGTCATGATCTGACGACAGTTTATCCTCAGGGAGTGCCTTCAGATATTTAAGGCTTCTGTGTTTGTAGCATAATGCTAATGGTTTGGAATTTCCGTCCAATCGCTTGGGTTTTTTTTAGTCAGCTTCAAGTGGACACTGAAGAAACTGCAGGGTTTAGTATTGCTCCTCTGCAATGGGGTTCGTTTTTCAACATCAGAGGTTGCCACTTGGTCAGTCAACCACCGCTGATCTCTCACGTTCTCATGGCTGTTTTAGGTTCAAAGAGCCAGACTATACCATCCAAACAGAAACATCTACAGGGGCGGAGGATTACAGGAACTTAAGGGGTAAAAAAGGAAATTGATGTGGGGGGAAATCGATGCATTATATAGAAAACAAGTGTTGTGATACTTTGCTGTATCAGTTTGTTCCTGACAAGAGAAACCTGAACCTCATAGTGAGACTTCATCTGTCAGAGTGAAGACGTGTGTGATTGTGTTGAAGTTGCACGTCCGTCTCCTGACAAACGTCTCTCACACAAACAGAGAAAGAGCGCTCGGCATGAGGAGGAGAGGGATCAATAGTGAGCACAGAATCATTATGATCTATGATGAGGGATGCTGTCAGGTCATTTCCAGTATTGATATGTGTCTTTGTCGGCTTGTGTTTTTTGTAGACGTGTTTGCACAGCTGCATAGAAAGGAAAAGTCTCCAGGACACTGACAGACTGTTTACATGCATTATGGGTAATATCAAGGGGGACAAAAAAAAAAAAGGACAAAGAAAGAGGACACAGGGAGAAAATCTTGTTTTTTAGGATAAAGGATGGCAGGAAAGGGCGGGCGAGGGTGTCGGGAGAGAGAAATGGATTTCATTAGAAATGAACCGACAACAGAAATAAACCCTGCAAGCTTCCTTATCCGCGCTCTAATTATAACCGCCGCTGCCAAATGAATCGGGAGCCGTTGTTACCTCAATTACTGCAGGAAGATAAATATGTTTGAAATGTACTGTAAAGAAAGTGCAGTGTCCTCCTGGGAGCAGAGCTGTACTTATGGAGCATGGACTCCGTTTTTTTAAAAATAGCAACGACTCTTAAAGCAAAAGGAAACATTCAGAGTCTTTTTTTTGTGTGTTTTTTTTTTTCTCTGCAGGATTGATTCGGTTGCAAGAACTCATAAAGGCGCCGTCCCGGTACAACATCCGGTTAAAGATCCGGCAGCTGCCTGCAGACACCAAGGATGCTAAACCGCTGCTAAAGGAGATGAAGAGGGGGAAGGAGTTCCACATCATCTTTGACTGTGGCCACGAGATGGCTGCTGGGATTCTAAAGCAGGTGTGTGTGTGTGTGTGTGTGTGTGTGTGTGTGGAGAATCTTTCCTCTCTCACATGATGGACAGAGCGTGAAATACAGAAGCCTTTTATCTTGAGATAATGACACTTTTCCCCTTTAGGATCAGAGGAAAAACTACTACTTTGATATCTCCAGATAATAATGCCATTAATCTGCTAATGATGGTAATCTTGAGATGATGATCACAAGATGATGGTTTGGATATTTTACATTACAACATATCAAAACAGAAAAAAGGTTGAGATAGCAGGCTGTAAAAAATGGCTCGCTGCCCCCCCCCCCCCCCCCCCCCCCCCCCTCCCCGACACATCGAGCGGTCTTTGTTCACATCCTCTCTGTGGATCCAAAAGGGGACGTTATGTACGGTGGCCCTGAAGGTCAACTGCAGACATATCTGATGAACGTGAGAAAATATTTCATTAAAAGCAAAAGAATTTGATGAAAAGCTAAAACTTTTAACTAAACACAAAAAAATATTTCACAAAAAGTCCTCAAAGTGGAAAATCTTTTCATGAAACACAATTTAATGACACGCTGAAACAACCGAAAGTAAAAATAAGAATAGATTAAAAAAACATTTCACACAACACTACTGGGCTGCTCAGTGGTACAGTGGTTAGCGCCAGTGAGTAGCCTGTTTAATGAACAAATCCCACCTCGACCTAACAGAGGATCTGCATGGAGAGAAGGGCCGGCCTTAAAAAGAAAAAGTATTTATCATTTAAACCCGGCTGAATGCTGCACACCAACGATTTGAGCTTCTAATCCAAAATGAGTCAATTTATCAGCAAACTGGTCACAGCTCCTCACAAATGACATGCCTCTTTAGTCTATAGATTTAGGAGGATCAATGAGTTTGAGTGAGTAAAACCTGCCTCTCATCGCCTTAAGGACCTGTCAGTCACAAAAAGCTATTTTAATACGGCTCATAAATTAGTTTTATCTACCTCGATGGTGTGTGTGTTGGAGGATTCCCAGTCCTGATAAGAACAAAAAAACACTCTGGTAAAAAGACTCAGTCGTCGTTATTCCTGCAAGGAGGAGAATAGTCAAATTTATTGATCATGTTTAAAGATTTCGCTTCACCCTGCAGCTTGTGCTGAGAGGTGTTTAAAAAAGGTAGCGCTCTTTTCTCCATTTTTTACACAAAGGCTTTGAACGCAGCTGGACCAAAAATGTCGTTTGGAATAAAAAAGAGGAAGTGTGCAACGAGTCACTCAATTAACAGGCCTTCATATTTCCCCGTCTTGCAGGATTTATCAAATATTAAAGACAACATGATTCACCCCCCCCCCACCCCCCAGCGCTCCGTCACTCTCCCAGGGTTTTTAATCAATGCCTGAGCGCTAGATTGCCGGGGAAGGTCAAGGACTCCTTTCATTAATAATGTCAGAGAGAAACCCTGCTAATGGGAGGTAATGAAAGACTTAACTGTCCTGTTTTGATTTTCACATTACATGACACACCAATAAATCACAGGTCCAAAGTACTCTTCATTACCGCCCAGATTCTGCAGAGACACACCGAGGAGAACAACAAAGTCGCCGAGGTGATCGATATAAATCTGATTTCTGATGAAGTAGAACAAAGGCAAGCAGAGGCCACTGATGTTGTTGTTGTTGAACAAAACAGTTCAAATAAGAGGTGACATCTGTAGACAGGGGCGTGTCCAGAGGGGTGACCAGGGGCCCCTCTTGAAATCTGATTGGCCACACCTGGTGCCACCCCAAAAATCCAAATCTGTGATTAGCTGTTAACCTAATTAGAGGCGGGACTTAAGTACTAATTAACTATTCTGGCTGTTTTCGATATTCTAATGGTCGATACTTTCAGTTGTAAATTATTAATTTGCGTTTTCCGTAATTATTTCCAAACATAAACTTATGAATAGCGTATTTTTTTGCGATGGACTAAATTTCCAATAAATTAATTAAATTGCAAGTTAGACAGCGTGCATGCAATTTTTCGAAGTCAATCAATCAATCAATCACATTTATTTATAAAGCACATTTAAAAACAGCAACAGCTGACCAAAGTGCTGTACATGAAACAAGAGAGCAATACAGATTAAAAAACAAAACAAAAATAAAAATAACAAAGCAAAACTCACACATACATGTTTGCCTACACACAGGCACACAGGATACAGTATTTAAATTTGTGACTTTGCACAAACATCTTCTTTTTTGAGTCCCCAAAGAATCAAGCTAACAAGACTTACGTTACCAAATTGTGTTGCTTACAAGTTAAATCATTTGTTGGGATAGAAAGGGTTAAAAATTAAAGTAATTTGCATGTGTGTGCCCACAAACGTCATGCCAACCCTGCATGAGTTAGAGCCTCAGGTGGGCCACCCTGGTTAAAAAAACGTCTGTACACGCCCCTGTGTGTATTAGTTAGCTGTGTAAGAATAATTTACATGAATTACACATAATTAAAGTGTGAAATTGAATAAAAAACCATGAACGAAATCAAGCTGACATCGTTAATAAAGAGTGAGAAATGGTCATTCTTTGTTTGTTGCAGAGGACAAAAACAAAAATCAGCTTTAAAATATCTGTAAACATTAATTAAAAAGGATTTCTAATGAGAACTTTTAACGCTAAAGTTTCACAGTGGCCTCAAATCCTTATCTTTATTCTGATTCATTGGTAAAAGCAGCTTAAAGGACTCAACACCTGAATTCTTAGGAATATTATGGTTCAGATTGTAAACACATGTCGTCTCTTAAGCCCGGTGCCAAGAATCTCCTCCCAAAGCGCTGCAGTCTTTCCTGTTCTCCACTTGACTCAGTTGTCTTTTTAACACCCCGTGCCCACACTGAGTACACAGCAAAAAAAGCCCCAGTGGGTGTGTTTGTCTTAAGTGAGGTGTGTTCAGACACACAGGTGGTTCATTCCTATCTTCAGGACACAGAAAGAGACGGCGCCTTAAAGCACAGTGAAACAGTCTGTGTTGCAGAGTGTTCCTGCTGTCTGAGGAGACGCATTAGAAAGATGAGCAGATACTTAAACGAGTTCATAACAGACTTCCTCTCTGCCCGTCAGACACACAGAGAAGCACAGCAGCGCTCCCACCGCTCAGCTAAACATGTTTTTCAAACGCTGATACATTTTAATTGAGTGGTTAATGTCGCAGAGGGCTGAGGGACGGCAAGCCTGACACCCAGCTCTCCATCCAGTCGGCTCGCTTCAATGTGGGTTCTGTCCAATACGTGCAAACACACACTCACACACGCTCGCACACGCTCATGCTACAGGGAGTGGGATGTATAATATTTCTTATATAAAGCAGTGAGTGCCACAATAATCACGATATTATCACCGACTGGTCAGTGTCCATCATGCACATGTACAGGTATAGCCAAAGATTCCAGCAGAGAAAACATGAAATAAATGTTGACAGCCTTCCTTTATTTGATGTTTGATGTTGAACTCATTTGTTAACAAAGATCCTGTCTGATCCTGTCGGTGCGTCTGGAGATTTGAATAATTAATGAGGATACGCTTTTGTGCCTCATGCAGAAATGTTCACCGACGAGCTGACCGGAGTTCAGTCCATTAAAGAATGAAGACTCAAGTCTGCAGTGTGAATAATAGAAGAAGTATAGTCATTTTTTAGTCGTGTAATGAGCAGGATAATGTAAAGTGAGCGGGTTGTTAAAGAGGAGGAACCCGTTCAGGGTGACACCAGACCCCCTCTGCTTCTGGTCGAGTTCCTGCTCACCTTGTTGCTCTCAGTTTCACAATAACACCCGGCTCACTTTGCATTATCCTTAACTGTACTGTTAGAAAAAGACTTCAGAAACAGGTGAGCAAATAATGCAAACTGCTTGATGTGAAGGTGTGAAGTCGACACTTATAGGGTTTTCACAATTGCTGAAAATTCCTGATAAACTCCTGATATTTCCAGGAGGAGCTGCATGTGTGAACGCAAACAAACAGATTTATCTCGGAGTTTCTCGTGTCAGACCACTAGTATTGTTTCCGCAGAAAGTCCGAGTGAGCTGATGTGAGAACGCAGCAGGATATTATCAGGAGAATTCACCTCGAGCCAATAGGAGGGGTGGTGACCTTTATATTGTGTGACTGCTGTCGGGTGCATAGACTGTCTGCACGGGGACTGCTACGATCTCCTTGCACTAATGCAGTGGTTCCCAAGGTGGGGGTCACAATCACTGTTAGGTTAGTCGCGACATTCCTTCCAAAAACATGTAAAAAATGGAAAATGGTTTAAAATTGCGTATTATTGTGAAAATACATACAAAAAAAGTAGTTTCTTACAATGAATTACAAAAAATAGCATGATGGTCTTTGGGCTATTGTGTGGTCTTCTAACGCCAGTGTTTGGATAGGCCTAATAGTGTGCGTGGCTGTGCCCAGCGTTAAATGTTTTAACCACCTCCAGGGACAATGGGGGTCCCTAGTCTCTTGCACTGTTATGCTGGGGGTCATGGGCTGAAATGTTTGGGAACCCCTACTTTAATAAACCTGCTGCATTATGTTTCCTGTTCTCCAGTATGTTCTTCTCCTCTCTTTAGTTCACATTGAGATTCTCTTCACCTACACATAGCACTGATATAAAGACAGATATTCTCATTATAGCATCGTATAGCCGACTCTGTTGCTTCGTCGGCTACTTCCTCATTGTTTTTTTTTACGTCACATTTTACCTCAGGAGACCCCTCGCCCCCCCCCCCTCCCATCTGTCAGGGATAGTCTCCAGCTGTGAGGAGCATATGTGAACAAGCAGGTCAGGAGAATCTCCTGAAATGATCTAGATATTTTCTGGAGTTGGGATGTGAAAACTTGAAAGTTAATGTGGATACAGTCCAATCCCAAGGTGCATGGAGTTTCTTAAAATACCTTAAAACGCTTCACCATAATCCAGTGAGGTTTCTCCTCCCTCTAGAGATCCTTTATCACTTTTTAAAACAGTTATTATAACTGAGCTCAATGTGATCCTGCATTGATTTGTTTCCATTGCCTGTAAGAAACATTAAAGAAATCAGAATATAGACACAGAGTCTCTGAGAGGCTTACAGGCGATCAGCGTCATCACAAGGTCCAGGCGATCACAGCGTGTGAGTCAGCGCTAAGTGGGACGGACCTCTGAAGAAACGCTGGAAGCTTCCTCAAGGTTTCCCACCTGAAATCAACAGCCGTCATTATCCTCCCGGCCTGTTTAATCACCGTCTCCACAGTCCTCATCTGTGATTCAGGCTGGTTAAACGAGTCTGACACAGCAGCAGGACACACACACACACACACACACACACACACACACACACACACACACACACAACCTGGATGATACTAGAATAACACAGAACATTGTGTTTCTACTTAAACATCTCATCCCTGAGCTGCACTTAGAGACGGATTGCCTTTGTGACGTTGTAAATGAGTACGTCTCTCTGTTAGCAAACCTGGATTGCTCACGACTGTCGCTCGGTGTGATGGGCGACGATCACACAGAGAGAGAGAGAAGAGGAAAGTCTGACTCATAGGAACTACGATCCTGTAAAATGACATCAATATGATCAACGTGAAATGAGAAAAATGAAGCTGACAGAGCAGATCTTTAATAAAGAGCTTCTCTCTATGTGCGTCATTCAGTTTATAAACGTTTAGCCACTTAGCTTTGAACTACATAAAACTATAACTTTGTCTTCAAACATTTCTTACGCTGTACTTCGTTTTTAAAAGTGAAGATTGAAGCTGAATAAAACCGTTTCCCGTCTTAGATCAGAGTGTCTCTGTTGCTCTTCAGTGGGGTCTGCAAGCTGAGCTGACGCTAACACTAACGTAAGCTTAGCCTGTTTCTAAGAGCTCATCTTGTTTTTTGGTAATGATTCCTTCAGTTTTCATAGTTCAGGATGTTTTCAAAGTCTCCTCAGATGTCCCTTAATTTTTTTTAAATGACAGAAAGAATCATAAAGACGAGTCACAACACAGCAGGAGGGGCTGACAACCGGTCTGATGCTAGCATTAGCTCGGGTTGCCTCTACAGGTGCGAAGTATGGACTGTATAAAACACGGACATAGTCTCAGTGATGCCACCTATTGGTTTTTGAAGAAGAGATTTGAAGCCAGACAATGCTAGCTCAAGCTAACTTTAGATCATTTAGAGACAAACAGGTGGAGCTGAGGCGGGAATTAAGCCTCCTGGCATACAGCTGCAACGCGCCCACCTGTCAGCCAACTCAGCCGCGTGAGGAATACAAATTATGCTAATTTACAAATAGCTATTAGGCGCCCTAAAATCAAAATCATCCTGTGAAGTTTCACCGATACAGAAATGAGTCATAGAGACCAGAAATGTTTTTTAAACCAGTCTGTAAACATTTTTAATTCTGCTTTAAAAATCGATATTTTAACATGGGTCTTAATGGGGATTGCTCGACTTTTGCAGCGAGCCTCAAGTGGACACTAGAGGAACTGCAGTTTTTTTTTGCACATTCTTTATCCGCATGATTTTTCAACGCTGGAGGTATATGTTTTTGAGTAAAGAATTCCTTCAGTGTTCAGTTTTTCTGAGTTATTTTCCCATAAGAGCTCTTCTATCCACAGATTTCTAGTCCACTTAAAAACAAAAAGAAGACGTCAGTAAAAACAAAAAAAAAACATTGCCACTCTTACTATCTATGACTTCTGTTTAACTGATATATCTTTAACATTTGTGTCAAAAATGTCCTTATTTTTGGATGATAAATGAATTAATTTTCTCCTGCTTTTGTCCTGCCCCTGAGTTTCTTTTTTCTCCTCTCGGACTCGTTCACTTTCTTCACCTGCAGAGCGTTGTATTTTGAAGTGGCCGTGTGCCGTCTAAGCAGAATCCTGCAGCCCTACTCACTCCTGTTGTTGCTAATTTTTCTTCTTTGTGACACTGTTTAGGTGTACATATTTTATTTTTCACCATTAATGATATACATTTTTAACCATATCACTCCCCTCATGATCATGCTGATACCCCAGCCTTAACTTGTAGCGAAAAGCACAGCGGCCCTGACGACCTTCTCCCCAGCTGCGACTCCTCTTGGGAGATCACAGGGGGGACACATGTAATCCCTCGAGCCTGTTACGGGTCTGCCCAGGGGTCTACTCCTCCCCAGATGCTCATATGTGGATTATCTCCCCGGGAGCATCCAAATCTGGATCCCCACCAACGTTGACTGGTTCCTTTTTAATGCAAAAACAAGTTTCTACTGGATGTTTGAGCAACAAAAAAACGCCTGCAAACAAACTTGATTTGGATGATTAACATCATTACTTTATTCTCTGAATGGAGGAGTGTGAACAGAGATTGGACGACTGAGTGTCGTCTTTATCATGAAAGTGGTATCTAGTGACACTCTATCTGGAGTTGAAGCTGGAATCATTTGTTTGTTTCTTGTTCATTGTTTTAAGTTCTTGCACTGCCTAAATCCAGCAGGAGTTCTGCATTTTATAACAGAGCTGCATTAGCATACATGTAGCCTCACATCCTAATATATGTTCTTGTCAATTTCCCAGATGTCCCACATTTATATTATTATGCAACATCCTCTGTGTTCCCTTCATATGCCAACTGTTGGAGACTGAGCCTGTCTTGGGTTTTATTTAGCTGTTTTTCTCTTTGCGGCCTGTTTGTTTCTTATCTCTGAGCCCGTGGCTGCAGCACTGTAGAAGAATATATGCCTCTTCACATTACATGCTTCTGCAGCCACACAAACAGATGAATATGACAAAATATTATATCTGCCTCTCTATGCCGTTATAAATCTCTCCCTCCTCCCCCCCCCCTGTCTCTCTCTCTCTCTCAGGCTCTGGCCATGGGGATGATGACAGAGTATTATCACTATATCTTCACCACACTGGTAAGTAGAGAAAGGCGTGTCTGCACATTCACTCTGTCATCAGATCTCACTCAGACCTCAGTATCCCCCCATGTAGATTTTGTTGATACCGCTGCTCTTCAATCTTGATTTTCTTCAGCTTTTCATTTCACATGTATTACCTTGGATCATTCTTTTATGTTCTGCACAGCAAAAGAAACAAAAAACATCAATCTTCTTTTTTTTTTTCCTTTTTGCATTTTTGTTAGCTCTAAAGAAATGCTCTCCATCTTCTCTGGCGTTTTCTTTCCTGTGTTTTCTTTGTATGCTTTTATTTTTCCTTTTTGTAGTTTTGCACTTTTGGTTTATTAATAGAACATTCCTGCACAGAAAATACAAAATTCCTACTTTATAAAATGGATAATAAAATGTGGGAGTTAATATGTAGATTCATCTTAAAGGTCACTTTATCTTATCACTTTTTTTAAGGACAAAATATGTGATGAGGTTACACAAAGAAAGGCAGGGTCTTTAAAGGTCACATATTCTGCAAAATCCACTTCACCATGTGTTTTTAACACTAATAAATGTCCCTAGTCTGTCTACAAACCCCCCAATGATGAGTAAAGTCCATCCTCTCTGTCTTCTGCCTGCTCCACTTTTCAGAAAATGTGTGCTCAAACAGGCCGTTTGGAGATTTTCCCTTCATGACATCACAAAGGGCAGTAGCCCCTCCCCCAGGTGGGTGACACTCCCACAGCTAGGTGTTTGTTCTGCTCTCTGAGTCTGCCTTCTCACCGCAAACAATAGGACATGGAGCGAGAAAGCCAGAGCCAACCCAAGCCCTTCCAGAGAGGGGGCGTGGTCAGACACAGCTCATTTACATATTTAAAGGTACAGACACAGAAACAGCCTGTTTTGAGCAGGGCTGAAATAGAGGGGTTTATAGACATGATCAAATACAGGATCAGAGTGGATTTAGAACAAGAAACTTCACACACATGTTTTGAGGAGCTCTGAGACTTATTTAAACTGAAGAAGAGGAGGAGGATATGTGACCTTTAAGTGTTTTAAATTTCTATCTAGAAGTTTGCAGAGGGCTGTAGGGCCAACAGAAATTGGGTCAATACCTTTGTCTTTTGTTTTCTTTGGATTTACCCTCCTCCATCCACACAATAAAACTAAAATCATGTATATGCGCACACACACAGTGGAGAGTCCTTTTTGGTTTCATGCCTGCATGAGTTCATATTCCAGGTCAAAGATTGGACTGGAAATCAAACTCTTATTGAGGCTCCATCTCTCTCATCCTGAAGAGGCTGCTTGTTGCTGCGGATCAAAAACACTTCAGTCTCTCTCTGAGAATCCGCCTCCATCCTGTCCTTTACTTTTTTTTTTTTTTAATGTCAAGTTCTTTTGAAAATGGAATAATTCAGGTTTTTAACAGTCTGTGCTTTTCATCACTGCAGCTAAAAGGATCATTTTGGGGGTTTGAAATGAAACATCTAAACGTTCATTTTTTATTTTATTTTTTTATTTCCTCTGCAGACGTTCAGCGTGGCAGAATTTAGATAATTAAAAATCCCTCTGGTGTCTTCTGAAAGATGAAAAGTAAAATCCAAACATGAATGAGGGAAGGGGGAGGGGCGGTACAGCGAGAGCAGGCAGAGGGGTTTCTTGTCATTTCCCACTGTTGTGTTTGGCACCCGGGCTCCAGAGCTGACAGCCTAATTCTCCCAGCAGAGTGAACAGTGCAGCCCTACTGAGGACACATATGGCGGCCTTTTTCCTGCCAGCTTTTCCTTTATTGCTTTCTGTTGACTGTTTTGTCCAGCATGGTATGGACGGTCTGGACTAAAGATTAGTGTTTCCTGAAACCGGCTTATTGTGAAATATTTGACAAGATTATTAACTATCATGATATCCATTTGATCATGTCTATAAACCCCTCTATTTCAGCCCTGCTCAGAACAGGCTGTTTCTGTGTCTGTACCTTTAAATATGTAAATGAGCTGTGTCTGACCACGCCCCCTCTGTGGAAGGGCTTGGGTGTGCTCGGTGCTTTCTCGCCCCATGCCCTATTGTTTACGGTGAGAAGGCAGACTCAGAGGGCAGAACAAACACCTAGCTGTGGGAGTGTCACCCACCTGGGGGAGGGGCTACTGCCCTTTGTGATGTCATGAAGGGAAAATCTCCAAACGGCCTGTTTGAGCACACATTTTCTGAAAAGTGGAACAGGGAAAAGACGGAGAGGATGGACTTTTAAAAATAATTTTGAGGGGTTTGTAGACAGACTAGAGACACATGTTAGAGTTAGAGAAACAATGTGAATTTTCAATGTGACCTTTAAACACAACCTTCTTAGATGTGAGTTACATTTCACACCTGTCCCCGATGTGTTTCTCTCCACAGGATCTGTTTGCTCTGGATGTGGAGCCGTATCGATACAGTGGTGTGAACATGACGGGCTTCAGGATCCTCAACACGGAGAACAGCCAGGTGGCCTCCATCATCGAGAAATGGTCCATGGAGCGCCTGCAGGCTCCGCCCAAACCTGACTCTGGTCTACTGGACGGCTTTATGACCGTGAGTCTCAGACACACAGAATGAATGAATGAGTCATGAATGATTGAGTCATCACGTCCATCTGTGGATGTGTGTGGATGAGCTCAGAGTGGCTCCATGAGTGCTTGTCAAAGATGAGTTTTCATGACATGGCATTAATCTGCTCTTTGTACAGAGTGGCCTCCCATTGGTCGCTGAGCTGTATTGATCAGTGCTTTCATAATGGCGGCTCTTCTCCTATCTTTATATTTTGTATTTGTGGTGGAACAGCTTTTCATCTCTGATCCGTGAAATGTAAGTTGATGATGCGTTTCATCTTTTAACTGGCTTTGTCTTTTCGTGTGTTTAGAGAAACAATCTTTTTTATTTCAGTCTTTATTTTTAGGAAATCTATAAAAGCAGGAGGACGATTGTCCCAGTTTCTCCTTCACTCTTCAGAAAATAGTGATAAAAAGTAAATAAAAGGACAGCTTGATTACACTTAAGAACATTTACAAACATGATTTTAATTAATCATTTTGAGCTCAAGACGACGAAAAAGGTCAGAATTGTGATGCTTCAGATGCTTTACCTTTTGACGACCAATGAGCACACGGCGGGGTTAATCTCCCCTCCTCCTCATGAACTGTGTCTGGATGATCTTTCAGCTACACTCCAGGGTGACCAAGTCCAGTTTAATGTCCTGTAAGCTCATATCAGTATTCCTCTGACGGACACTAACTACCAGTGTACTGTTGATCCACTGCTGTGGAGCGTCTGTCCATCTGTCTTCACCGACTGACTGTCGCATGTCAGCTGAAATCTGTCTAACTACAGCGCTATGAACCCAAAATGAACGCGGTGACTGTGATTGAATTAAAGTTAACATGCTTAGTCAGATTAGCCTGCAAGATGATAAGCAAAAAACTTTAAAATGCATTTTTTAAATCAGAATCGAGGTTTATTGCCAAATACATTTACACATACAAGGAATTTAACTTGGTGTATTGGTGCTAAACAATTAACAAGGAAATAAAGCAGAACTAGCAACAACTTAAATAATACAGAATAAGAAGATATTACAATATATAAAATAGAATTTAAAAATGTAAAATATAAAAAAAGAATTTTTTTTAAATGGCGTTTGAGAGCCTATTTCTGTTTCAACATCTGGATGAAATATAAAGGTCTCATAACTGACTGGAGAGTAGGCCTTTCTGTCCTCTGAGATGGACATGTGAGAAATACAACACTCCAGAGATCCTTCAAAGATGCTGCAGGCGTCCGAGGGTCAGAGCTCTTCTGATGCAACATCTCAAAACCAAAACAATTCATGAATCCACATCCACAAACGTCTCCACATTTCTCCGTTGGGGGTTTTCTGGTATTTCACCGGCAACGAAGCCGCTGTAGATATAAAGCAGTGTTCTGGACATAATAGATTTGTTAGGCTGGATGTGCAAGTGGCTTCTCCTCCTGTAACATCCCAGTCAGATGGAAAAAAAAAAAACACCTCTGCGCCCCAGAGTCGTGAGCCGCGGGTGTGATAAGAAGAGTCTCAGTCACTGTGATCTGAAAGTTCTCTGATCAGAGCACACTGCCTGTAATAACTGTTCCTCCACGCTGCTTTTCATTCCACCACTCTTATCTGGGAGCGCTGCCAAAAAAAAAAAAGTCTAACCGCCAGAGAGACGAGCAGCGGAGAGGAGAGGAGAGGGTATAGGCAGGGAGAGGAATGAGATGAATGAAACAAGAGAAGAAGAGAAGGAGACGGACGGACGGAGAGTGTGGGTGATGGGAGGCAGGGTGAATGTTGGGGGTGTTAAACGTGAGGCCGATGGAGCCGTTTGGTCTTATTCCAGTTGGACAGCACCAGTGGCGTCGGCGGCGGCGGCGGCCGCAGTAAGCAGCAACATGTTGGTTGGTGATTGAAAACAGAGGCTTACCTCTGGGGAACACATTCCTCTTTTTTTTTCCCAAAAGAGCGAGACGTCGCTGAGTCATGTCAGTGGATTGATATCAGAGAGTGGGTGTTACTCACTTTAAGCCCCCTTTTGTTGGATTTGTGGCTCAATCAATACTGTTTCCACTTGAGACCTGAAATGGACTGTGGGTATAATAACTGTACCTCTTCTACACACACACACACAAGCATGCCTTTATGGATGCTAGCTCCCGGCGCTAGCAGCTACACACGCAGTTGATTTGATGTCTAAAGTGCAGAAGATAAGGGAAAATAAAAAGATCCCCTCTCGTCTTCTTGGTGTCTATATCCGTCTCTGTGGAGTCATCATCAGCGAGCAGCGCTGCGTGGTTATTTTTGGATCAAGCGACAGGGAGAAGATTTATCTGTGCGAGGAGAGCGCTGTGACCCGGCTCATCACTGGATTAATGGCATATGAGTTTGAAGGTGGGGATTGATTAATTAGACAAATGGCAATCAGTCAGCAGCTAATGCATATTGACATGTCGGAAGGTTCCGTAAACGTTTGATTAACGGCTTCATTTGTGCGCTGTATTTACGGTGTTGTGTGCTTAAGTAGTGAACTGCTGGCGCGCCTATAACTTATGGACGTGCAGACGGTGATGGATGGCTCTGAGTGAGCAGTCAGAGACTTCACTCTCCTCCCTGCACCGCTTCTCCATCAGCACCATCATTTCACAGAAAAGGGCTGGAAATTAGACTCTGATAACGCCTTTGGATACAGAGTGTCTGTTACGTAAAATTTAAATTGTACATTGACTTTTCTTCTTCCTCTTTGAAATGTATTTTGGGAGAAAAAAACCCACCAAAATGTAATTCGGTTTGACGATAACGGCCTACACATGTTGAAACAGACTTCATGATAATTGGCCTATACTGTTTTTTCAAAGAGCTCAAAAGTGGCCTCCCATTTGTTCCGCGTCTCTCTTTCCTGAGTTATATTTCCCCGTTCAAATCCTCCAATGACATTTCATAAAATCCTTATATAATTGACATTGACGCCTGTAACCATGACAACAAGCTAGCCCAATACTGGTGACTATAGCACAGTTGATTCATGCATGAAGGGCATCGACAAAAGGAGAAAAAGGCAAAGGTACAAGACTGTGTCCATATTATTTTTTTGGAGTCAAGGAACTACCAATCCCACAATCCATTGCCAATGATGCCACTTCTTCTTCATGTAACTTTAGTCATAGGTATAGTGTTTATAGCCTACTGTTAATACCTTGTAGTTTGTGTTGTTGACTATATGATTACTACATTTCCTATTGGCTAACAAACTAGCTAGCTTGAAACTATCGGTTCGCATACCGCAACAAGGGGAGGGAAACATTGCCATGGTTACAGCGAGCTCCATCAATCAGAGACGTTGCTGTGACACTCCATGATCGTGGGTAGTGTAGTTCTTTTCCCCGATATCGTGAATGAAATCTTGTTTTTCTTAAAGCGAGGGTGATGTCAGACGATCTTGTGTCTCCTACAGGAACATAAACCATCGTCTCACACTCAGGTCGCTCGTGGTCGGTCTACCTGTGATGGTTGTGACATCATGACTAATAATCAAATCCACTATGGAGATAATGAATGGGGTTTTTAGATCAAGAACCACACAGTTGAGCTTTATTCTCTTGCGCATCAAACTTGGTAACGCCTACACCTGTGCATTCAGCATTCAGCCGGCTCTAAGTTTATTGGTTTTGATTGCTTCAGTTGAACTTTTTTTTTGTGCTGCATTGTCGACTTAAAGAGTGCTCTGCAAAATCAATAAGTGTTGTTTTCCTCCACTGGAGTCAGCAGGTTTGCAGGGACTTAGTGTAGCATAAGCTGTTTCTCAATTAAGAAATCCTCTTCCTGTTTAACCACAGCTTCATCTCTAAAGGGATCCTTTCCTGTGATGGTGTCAGAACAACAATCTGAGCCTGTTAGTGACAAAAGCAACAACTCTAAGTGGACACACTTTCACCCTGAAAGACTGCATGTGTGAACGCAAACGGTCAAGTTTTTCACTCGGACATCACCTGGAGTTTCTACTGCCAGCCTCCTGCAGCAAGTCAGAGTGAGCTGTGATGTGAAAACGGCTTTAGTAAGATAGAATCAAAAATATGTTAAAACAAGGCCCACGTTAAAGGCTTTATATGTGATTTTTTTGATCCAGCAGATGTCGCCCTTGAGCACCAGCATGAAACCAAAACAACTCGCGCTGCATTGTTGTGTTAGCATGCTAATGCTAGCGATCTTTCTTATGCTGGTATCTTCACACTGCATGTAAATTTACCTGAAATGAGCGTGATCTAGAAACACAGTTAAGCAGTGAGTACAGTATGTTATTCTTCTTTTCTCTAGTCCCTCAATTAAACAACTTTTATACACGAGGGGAGGAGTCAGCCGGTCCGTCCCGGCGATGTAAACAAACTGAAGATAGGACTCTGAAAACTCTGAAAACATCACAGACAGTGGGACTCGGGTGTTACACCCATTGTAGACAGTGATGACTCACAGAGTTATTTTCAGAGGAGATACTTGATTTCTATTACATTTAAATGTGAAAAATCGCATATAAAGCCTTTAAAGAGAACAAACTAAACGCCCCCTTGAAATCATCTTGTGTCAAATTTTCCTCTTGACCTTGAAAATGCAGGTTGACAGAATCCCCTCTAACTCCTGATCCACAGCCAAACATAATGAAGACACTCTGAGTACTGAGGACCTTACAATGACTCCATGCGGTTTGAAATGTGCTGTGAAGTTTAATCAGAGTGTTTGTAACTCTGAATGACCTCTTCCAACATGTCTGATTTCATTATTTCACTTCTGTTCCTGGTTAATTCGTCCCTCACTGACAGCAGCAGCAGCTCCTCTTCGCCACTGCCTCGAATCATGAACACGATTAAATAAACGAATGACAATGTTTTTTTTTCTTCTTCCCAGCGTCTCGTCTGTGTGTGACAAACCAGGTAAACTCATTCTGCCCCTCGTTCCTTTATGCTGCCGTCAATTAATGTGACTGCGGAGAGTCCCTGCCCCGAGTCGTGGCTTAACATGCACGACGACGGTG